TAGCAGTCGCATAGAAAGGAGCTCTCAACCCTAAAATCGATAGAAGGCCACCAACGCCTGGGCGTGCTGCCATACACAGTCCTGGTATCATATTCATATAGCCAAGATAGGCCCTCTGCTTGCTAGGGATGCTCACTGTGTCCGCCACATAGGCCATAGCTACTGGGCGACCACCACCCGCCAAGCCATTGAGAATACGAAGGACCACGAACCACCAGAAGCTGTTGGTAATGGCTTGAAGCAGATAAGCGAGAGTGATGATAGCCATCGAAACCAAGAGCAGCGGTCGACGACCTAGCTTGTCCGAGAGCCTCCCCATAGCCGCTGGTGAGAACGTCATTCCCACCGCATAGGACAGCATACAAGTTGAATAGGCAGCCCCGCGAGACATGGTCTCACAGCCTTCCAAATGGGCAGAGGAGGACGGGTCTGTCAAGAGGGGTATTATATTGAGGGCCATTGTCATCCCCAAGAAGTCGATAAGGACGACCAGGCATACCAAGGCCACGCGAAATCCTCCTCCACCGAGCGAACACTCTGCTGTCGGTGTAGTCATAGGAACGAGACGCTGCACATTCTACAACAGACGACAGAATGACGAAGCAGATCCTCCACTAAGTGCTCGCCTGACCATGAGGGGCCCCTCGCCAGCACTGAACTCGAGATTGGAAGTATGTGTACTCACTCGAATGTCATCTATGATGTATCGATTTTCTAATTGAGTTCGAGCCCACCGTCGATATTTAGGACATATTGAAGAAGTCCGAAGCAGTGGGGACATCAGACCAACCACTATTACTATGAATATGCCATATTCAGCAATGCTCATATTCAATACGGGCATTTCTGATACAGAATATGACGAGCTAAAGGCATGCGAGTCGACCTTGGCTGCTTGACATGAAACCTAGCATTTCCACGAGTATTCATACCAAGCCCACCAATATGTGTTTCACCTTCAAATGATGTTTGATGCTTCCCACCCAGGGTAGAAGAAGGGTAGGCTACCCTTCTGCCCTCCTCACAAAACCTCATTCCGACGCAACCGGCTCTCAAGAAGACCCGTACAACCAATCTTGACAGCTACCTTATCATGTTACTACCTCCGACTCTCTAGATCCAACCTGCTGCTGCAACCACCACCGAAATTATTGAATGGTCTGCCTGTATGGCAATGCCGTAATGCCATAATGGCATCCTTGAACCAAGTTTCCATCATTTTTTGTACATCATAGTCGACGAATTTGATGACCTTGCTCGTATGATGCTTCGGATGCAACTCGCCAAGCTACCAACGACAGAAAGCATGACGAACGCATTTTGAGCAGAGCCTATGCGACTACGATTTCAGAATATAATGTGTACGGGTTCATCCAGCCGAAAGCCCAATCCAGGTGCAGTGCATCAAATATGTCGAAAATCTCAGAAACTGTAGTGCTTCTCCGATCAAAATCAGGAGATTCCTAATAAGAAACGGTTCCTTAGAAGCTTGCTAGCCATTCCTTTCTTCTACACTGTATAGATTCCATGGCGAGCGATGAGATCGATGGCCTTTCGAAATAGGCTCTAGCATACGCGCAATTTGCTCAGAGCAAGTTGCTCCTAAACATGAGGCGAAGCTGTGGTCATCTTGACTCAAATTCTTATTATTATCATTATGATGGCCACTACCAGCAAGACTCTCAGTCAGAGTCTTTGAGTAGTAAAGATGCTTGGCTTGAGAGCAAAGGTGGGGCACCTGCATTTAGGCCGTGGACATAGGAAGCTCGTTCCAAGGCTTCAGAAGTGTTCACACCCTTGCGTCACATCAATGGAGCGGAGGCAGTTAGGTATGAGGTGATTCCCCCTGCCGGGCAAGGTCTGCCGTCTATACGGGTGCCAACACCCGGGGTGTTGGCATGTCTAATTTCACTAGGGCTCATTCACATCCCTGCCAGCTCAATTCGCGCTAACAATCCCGGCTTGATCCCGATGCATGTGAACTCCGTGATGCTCGGTTTCCATAGTACCATTCCAACAATATGACACTGAGGATTTTGTGATGCTAGACGTAGGCAGACGCTACTTCCTGTGCATGCGTGCGGCTTTCGCGTACTGCGGTTTTAGTCCAAGATTAGTGCGAGTTGTGTCCGAGGTCTGTGCTAGATATATATCAACAGAGTCTAGCTTTGAGTTATTTGAGTTCGGAATGGTTGTTAGGCCATCAGGAAAGATTACTGAAGTGCGACGTAATCGTGATACGGATGTTATAGTGAAGGTACATCGCAGACGAGTAAAGGAAAAGATGGGTCATGTTTCCCATGCGCAGTGTGTAGGAAAGGAGTCAACCCATGGTACCCCGGTTGCTCTCACTGGTTACTCGAGTCCTTATAGGGAGGCTCAGCGCTGCGCGTAACGTCAATGCGCCCACTTGGCGTATTGCCATTAGTAGTTCCCCTAACTGGGATAGAATTAATCTTGGTTTGATTCTTTAGGTTCATCCCAAGTAATAATCAGCAATTGGATAATCCACGATTGACATTATGTTTGAATTTCAGTCTCTACGTGAAGTCTTACTATTTATTCGGACCTTGACAGTTGAACTGTCACAGTTCGTTTGCAAATTAAAATTTGCGCATTGTAGGTTGTTGAGAACAGCCAACAGCAGCCTGTTGCAGAGGTGGATTTTGGGACGAGCGTGACCAGGTAATATAGGGGTTGCCATATCTCGTTAATTTTGCATATCTCAATCATCGTTGCTGGCAGCAACTTGCTGCATATCTCGGAGATATTATCTCCTTACTCTGCTGAGCGTTATCTGTGACGGTAATGTTATCCTATAATGTGACGATAATGTTGGTTTTGACTCTATAATGGTAGGCCACCATGCTATCATTGACAACGGTATCATTGAATTCCATCATTCACAACACGATTTCATATCCAGTGTATATTGTCCGCATACCTCTCTCGGTATAGGCATGATCACTATGTTGCAAGGTATTGTCAATACCAATGAATGAAGATGAATTGGTATGAAATGGGTTTCACCTCAGTTTCATTAAAATATTTTATTAATGTTTTTTACCACTCTCAACCCTCGCCAACGCGCTCGTATCGCCGTCGTTTCCTCATGTTTCTCTGCTGGCTGGAGGCATTTGGGATCCCAAATGACTTACGGGTGCTCATCTACAACTACTTTGTGCTCTATCCTCTCGCACTGTATGGTACAAGCGACTGGCTTCCTGTTAGTGGACCCGTTTCAGGGGGTTCTCTAAGCGGTTGTGAGAGCCTGACTGAGTATGCTAGTACTACTAATGGCCGTGGCTTCTTTTATTTCTATAATTGTGACTAAGGACGACGGCGACGGTGACTAAGGCGACGTGGCGGCGGCAACTTTCGATGAAAGCAGACTAAGGTCCCACGAATTCCTTTGCCTCGAAAAGCGGCGCATATCGCCCTTCCCCACGATGGCAACGAAAAATATTCGAAGGCGCTCTAAGGCTGGCAACTTTACAACGTGATTGTGTGTGTCTCACTTGCGCGTTTCTTCAACTTCTCGGTTTCTCTGTAGTGTGATATCAGTGTCTCGTTAAACATTGGAGTCTGCCTTTCATTGTCAATGACCGGATCTCGCCAGAAAAGAATTCCACACTAGTGGACACCTGAGAAATGGCCCGAAACAAATCAGAATTGCCCCGAGAGAAGTAAAAGACATTCACGTGATTTGGGATCGAACTCCCGGCTTCCCGGTAGGCAGCCGCTCGCTCTCCCGATCAAAGCAAACGAACCTGGAAAAATCGGTTAAATTAACCAACGGCAAGCTTATGCGCTCAAAAGGCGCTCCTATCCTGATGGTTTATGGCACTTGTAGTTTTTTAGATGAATTTTTGCGCTCAGTTGTGTTGCGCTCGCTCGTGTTTGCGCTCAGTTGTGGGGTTACGATCCACGAGTTACCACTTGCTGTCCGGCGACTGATGGTGTTGAGATGCCTAAGACTGGAGGGAATGTCGAGCCTTCCAGCCGAGGTGGTTGATTTGTGTATCACGTTTAGAGATCCATCCCTGATAATGTTATGACTGTTGATTCATTTGTGGTTAGGCAGGCGGATCTGTTGAATGGTGACAGACTCTCACTGAAAGTGTCATTTATTATTTTCAACACTAACAGTATCGAAGGTGTGTGTTAGGATGACCCGTTCGTTGCTAATGAGTTGTCTCTGACCATCGATGGAGTACATATTAGTGCATGCCCTGAATGGTCATTGGTGGTCGTATCATGGGCGACATATATTCGTTCATACAGTGCACTAATACAATGCTGCTTAACCCGAGATATATTATGAAGTTCAGGATACTGACTATCCGATAGTATCACTCCTTTGATGACACGGAATTCGGGGCATTGGGATACCGTTAGTAGTCTAGCGATACTATCGCTGCGATAGATCTCGCCAGAGTAACTCGTGTTATGGGAAGGACCGCGGTTTAACAAACTGAACAGC